GGTTAAAATCAGAGCCAGTGTCCAAAGCTTCCGTTCCATGCCGGAGCAATCCAATGCAGCATCAGGCTAGCTGAGTTTGTGTTTCCCACTGTAGTTCATCAGTCCACTGTATGTGGGGTTTGCACGGCAGTGGACCATACAGGCAAATGCAAGGAAGCAGGAACAAGAGAGCATATGAGCCAAGAGCCATGAGAGAATTTCTTTGTTAAGGAATTATATATTCCCAAATTTTTACAGGCTTGCAGTGGCCACGCCCCTTCTGGCCAATGATCTCTGTTCCTAGGTATGACTGACAGGCAAGTACCTTCCTTATGTCACCCCCAAGTTCACTGGGCATGTGTCTATCTCCCCTTTGTTGGACTCCTTCCCCCAGTGTTTTGCAGGGAATGGGCTAGTGGTTCCCCGGGGAGTGTGAAGTTACAGCTTCTTGGTGAAGCTGCCCAAATAACATGCCTTCCCTGTATTCCTTTCCTATTGTTAATAACTAGCTAATTACAATGGTATCACTCTGAGTCCTCATCTGCCTCTTTTATTCAGTCCATCCCATAAAGGTTGGTGGTCTTCAGGGTGCTATGAAGCCTCATCTCTTCCCACCATCCTGAGCCATCTTACCACAGCCTAGGCCTATGGCTTCAACCATACCCTCCATGCTGATAATTCCCAAATCTAGATTGCTAGCTTAGATCTTGCACCTAACATACTGTTGGCCAAGGGACATTTATACACATGTCCCATAAGGACTTCAGAATGAACATGGCCACACAGGAACTCATCACATTCCCGCAGTCTAGACCTACTGGGGAAATCTCAGTGACCTCCCCTCTTCCCCATCCTTCCTACCAGTGCTCAGCAAAGTCCTATATCAGCTGTGAAATGTCCTTTGACTGTGTCCTCCTCTCTTCATCCCCACTGCCATTCTGAGTCTAATGCAATGCAATCCTCTTTGGTCTGCCACCAACTCCTCCCCCTGTAGTCCAGCCTCCACATGGCCAGAGTGAGTTTTCAAAAATGCCAATCAGCACCCTTTCCCTCTCAGGAGCACGTTCCTTGCTTTTCCCTCCCACTCCCCTTCTCCTCAGGTGCATTACCCTTGCTTTCCCTCTCCTAAGCTCCGAGGGTCCTTCTTTTGCTTCTAGAACTTATTTCCTGAGCCTGTGGTAGCTCAGCTGGCTCACTTCTACTACCTCTGTAACTTTCTCTTTTCATTTGAAAGAACAAAAAAAGGTTTGAATCTTTCAATGGATTAGAAAATGTCTTTAAGACTAAATTCCTGCCCTTGCCAGTTTGGCTCAGCGGTTAGAGCGTCGGCCTGCGGTCCCGAGAGACCCGGGTTCGGTTCCCACTAAGGGCACGTACTTCGGTTGCAGTTTGTCCCCGGCCCTGGTTGGTCGTGCGGGTGGCAGCCACTCGATGTGTCCCTTCACGTCGATGTTTCTCTCTCTCTCTCCCTCCCACTCTATCTGTACAAAAAAATGGAAAAATATCCTCGGGTGAGGATAAAAAAAAAAAAAGACTAAATTCCTTTCTGGCTACATATGTAACCCCTTTCCATCTCACATGCTACATTCAAACATTATTGTACTCCTTAAAAACACCACTCAGTATATGACATAGCGGGTAAAAGCGTGAGCATCGGAATCTTGGCTCCGTAAGTTACTAGGCACTCCGTAAGTTACTTCTCTTTTTCTGTGGTAGATTTCAAAAAAAAAAAAAAAAAAAAGCCACTGAGTCTGTTCATCACTTTGCAATGTGACTTTGCACAGGCTTTGAATCTGGATTTGGCTACATGATTGGCTTTGGCCAGTGGGACAGCAAATATAATACAAGCAGAGATCTGAAAAGCCTTTGTGCTTTTTGCTTATCTTCATGCTGTGCTTGGACCCCTGAGACCACCAAGTGAATAAGCCCAAGCTAGCCTGCTGGAAGCTGGAAGGACATGTGGAGAACTGAGGCACCTGACAGACAATTTGCCCAGCTCCAGAATGGAGTGAGGTCATCCTAGATCATCCAGCCTCCAGCTGACCTGTCAGACAAATGGTAGACCCCAGTAGAGATCAGCTGAATCAGCTCAAATCAGAACCTCCCAATCGGCCCACAAAATTGTGAGTAAAAGTTATGTGATTTTTTGTTTTGTGTTGCCCAGTACTTAAGAAATAACTCAGTATATATATATTTAATTCTCACTTGAGGACACTTTTCCATTGATTTTTTTTTTTTTAAAGATAGAGTGGGAGGGAGGAAGGGAAGGGGAGAGAGAGAGAGACAGAAACATGGATGTGAGAGAGACACATCGATTGATTCTTCCCACAGGACCCCAACCTGGGCCAGGGATTGAACCTGTAACCCAGGTATGTGCCCTTAACCGAGAATCAAACCCGTGACTCTTCAGTCCATGGGCTGACACTGTAACCACTGAGCCAAACCAGCCACGGCAATGCAATTTTTTTTAAGCAACAGTCTTATTGAAGTATAATTTACATACCATGAAAGTCACCCATTTTAAGTATAAACATGAATGAATTTTAGAAAAGTTTAGAGTCATGGAATCATCACTGTGTTTAGAACATTTCTATCACTTTAAAAAGTTGCCTTGAAATGCCCTGGCCAGTTTGGCTCAGCAGTAGAGCATCGACCCACAGACCATAGGGTTGCGGGTTCAATTCTGGTCAAGGAAGGGCATGTACCTTGGTTGCAGTTCGTCCCTGGCTCTGGTCGGGGTTGTGTGGAAGGCAACCAGTTGATATGTCTTTCTCACGTCAATGTTTCTCTCTCTCTCTCTCTCCCTTCTTTCCCTTCCTCCTTCCCTCCCATTCTATCTGAAGATAAAAATGGAAAAAAGTATCTTCGGGTAAGGATTAAAAAAAAAAGAAAAGCTGCCTAGCACCTGTTTGCAGTTAATTGCCTCTCCCACTCCAACACCAGGCAACCACCTATCTGCTTTCTGTTTCTATAAATTTGTCTTTTCTGGTCAGTTCATATACATGGAATCATACAATCTGTGGCTATGTGCATCTGGCATTTTTCACTTAGTGTAATGTTTTTGAGGTTTATCCATGTTGTAGCATGTGTCAGTAGTTCACTCCTTTTTAAAATATTGTTCGATTGCATAGATACATCACATTTTGTTTATCCATTCACCATCTGATGGGCATTTTGATTGTTTTCAGTTTGGGGGTATTACTAATAATGTTGCTATGGACTTTCATGAACAAGTCTCAGTGTGAGCCTATATTTTTCATTGATTTTTATTTTTAGAGGGAGAGAGAGCCAGCCAGAGAGAACCATCGATCTGCTGCTTCCTGTATGCCCCCTACTGGGGATCTGACTGGGAATTGAACCGACAACCTTTCAGTGTATGGGATGATGCTCAACAAACTTAGCCACACTGGCCAGGGCTGGACATATGTTTTTATTTCTATTGGGTGGAAATCTGGGAGTGGAATTCCTGAGTCATATGGTCAGAGGATGTTTAACTTTTTATGCAACTGACAAACCGTTTCCCAAAGTAGCTGCACCATTTTACATTCCCAATAACAGTGTACGTATGAGGGTTCCACATCTTGTGTCTCCTAGCCACCTAGAAGCTCTTCTCGCTGGAGTTGTTAAGCTGTGAGAATGTGAGCCTGCTGCTACCAACAGCTATTCATGTGTTACATCATTTATTTAACAACTATTGTCTGAGTACTTACCATTAGGTGGTAGGCTCTGGCTCTGCAAGAAGTCCCTGTAAGATGGAGAGAGACAGCCCCCACCCCAGGTGATATTGTTTCAGCTGGTCCTGGTCCCCCCTGAACCTTCCGGTTGCAGGAGGTGGGGATTTCTGATGAGAGTTTGAGTTGCACCTGCTGCCACTGGCAAGGCTTGGCAGTGCACCCCTCCAACCCACCAGGACCCAGATAAGTCCTAGTGGCTGTTCTCCCCACATTCCACAGGGAACACCAACCAGCATTGAAAGTTTGGGTGTAACAGAGGTGCCAGGAGATGGTGGTGCCAGCAGTCTGTGGCAGTACCAATGGAAGCCAGAGAAAGGCCTGGTGGATGCCAAGAGGGGGTTAGGGTATGGGTCAGGCACGGAGCACAGGAAATTCAGGATATACAGATACGGATGTAGATGTAGATGTAGGGAGATGGGAGAAAGCAGAAGGGAAGAAAAGCAGCAACTTGTTAGCCGTGTCTCTGGGTCTTAAGATTGTGGGAGCCTTTATTTTGTTACTGATTTTGCTTACAGTGACTTCAAACTTTCATTTTCTACAAATATTATATACTCGTTTTTTTGTTTTATTTTTTTGTTTTTTATGTATTGAGTTTTAAATGAAAAAAAAAAGACCCCACCATAATTGTTTTATTTATTTAAAAAATTTTTTTTTCTTTATTGATGTTAGAGGCAGAAACATTGATGAGAGAGCCCTGGCCGGTTTGGCTCAGCAGTTAGAGCGTCAGCCCGTGGATCAGAGAGACCCGGGTTCGGTTCCCGCTAAGGGCACGTACCTCGGTTGCAGTTTGTCCCCGGCCCCGGTTGTGTGGGTGGCAGCCAGTCGATGTGTCTCTCTCATGTCGATGTTTCTCTCTCTCTCTCTTCCTCCCTCTATTCTGCTCTATCTGAAGATAAATGCAAAAATGCCCTCGGACGAAGATAAAAAAAGAAACATTGATGAAAGAGAACATCAACTGGTTGCCTCCTGCATGCCCCCCACTGGGGATTTGGTCCACCACCTGGACATGTGCCCTGACCGGGAATCAAACCAGCGACCTCCGGGTGCATGGGTCGATGCTCAACCACTGAGCCACACTGACCGGGCCATAACTGTTTCTTTTAAAAGGAGAATTAAAGTTCTGGGGAAGTTCTGTATGTAGCTGAGAGAGAGGGAGAGAAAGAGAAAGAGAGAGAAACATTAGAAATATCAATTGGTTGCCTTCCATACATGCCCGGACCAGGGATCGAACCCACAACCCAGGTATGTGCCCTGATCGGGAATCGAATTGGCAATACTTTGGTGCACAGAACAATGCTCAACTAACTGAGCCACTTAGCTGGGCGATGGCAGTATGTTTAGACATAAAGAAACTGAGACCCAACGACTGGACAGTCAGAGCCAGGACTCAGAAGCAGGTGTCCAGACTTCAGCTGGCGAGCTTGCCCGTAGCTCCCCTGGCGTGTCCACCTCTGCACTTCTCCCAGATTTCCACAATTAGGTGAGGATGGGTCTCCTTCAGGGCTTGGTAGAGTTGATCTTTGCAGGCCCAGGCCCAGGACTTGCTGAAGCTGAACAGCTTCCTCATCTTGTCCGGATTGGTGGGCTCAGCCCGCACCCTCTCATATTGCTCCTCGCTCAGCACCTGCCCATGCAGCTTGTCCAGGATTGGGTCCACTGACGTCACTCGAGCCACCAGCTGCTCCCGATGTTGGTCCACAAAGTGCAGCAAGGTTGGAGCCTCTGGGGATGAAGGCGAGCCTGACAATGAATAAAGAAGCTTTCACCGCAGCCTCTGCATCTGATCCCTACCTGTAGTTCTTCACCCACCTGGTCTGCATCCCTGGCTCCTCCCGTGCCTATGAAAACATTGGACCACCAGATAAGTGCCTCTGCTTACCCTAGGATTCTTGATAGAGGCATTTTAGGCTGTCCTGTGGACGGTGCCAGGCCTCCATGGGCAGAAATAAGGGGGATGGGGACAGACTCTGCCCTGGGGCAAATACTATTCTTCAAGGACTGATCTCTTGTGAGGTTTAAAGGGTTCCTTTATTTCTCTCCTCCCTCCACTCCAGGACCAGATAGTCCATCCCAGAACTACCAAGGCTCCTGTGGTCGCTAACAGCTGTTACTGACCTATCAGGGCTTGAGAGACCAGGGTAGCTGCAGGTCTGAGGTCTCCTGGAAGAAAACAGATATGAATAAACATCTGTCACAGTGGTAGTTATTATTTTATTTTTTACTTTTTTGGGTACCTGTCCCTAGTGGGAACCGAACCCAGGACTCTCCAGTCCGCAGGCCGATGCCCCAACCGCTGAACCAAACCGGCCAGGGCAACAGTGGTAGTTATTAATGCATGATAATCCTTAAAAATCCTCCCTATGTCTCGTTTTTGAGATTCTTTGATTTCTGGAAGCAGCTACAGACTAATCTTGGTAGAAGTTGGAGTAAGCATTGCAAGGGCCCTTAGAGATTATGTAGGTGAATCCTTATGCATATGGGGAAACTGAGGCTCAGAAGCCATGATCATAGACAGAGAGACAAACAGCAATTTCTTCCTCAACACTGCAGGCAAGGTTTAATTCAGTCTTGGCCTGAATGGAACCCTGGTGGAGAAAGAACCGTGTTCCTTGCTAGATAGCTTCAACTATGAGATCTCCTTTCTGAGCAGAAGTCTTCCTCTGTGGACTTGTTTGGCCTCTAGATCCACACGGTTTGTTTCGGATTTTGATGTCAGGACCAGGATCAAGAAAAGCTTAGCACTGGGCATACTGGATGCGTTTCGACAGGAAAATGAAACAACAAATGGAGGGACACCATCACTCGCATAAGGAAAGGAAGGGGGAATTCACAGCAGCTCCTGTGGACAACGCCTGAGATTTTGAGCCGACCCAAGTTCTGTGTGAGCTGAGAGTGTGGGGGTGAGCACGAGCAAGCGGAGCTCCGGTTGCGGTGCGGGGAGCACCGGGTTCACTTGGATGGATGGAGGACGGCGCTGCATGTCCTCCAAGCTGACTGGACGGACTTAGAGTCCATCCTGACTCATCCTCAAATGGGCACATCTACTGAGGAAGGTGACTAAAAGGGCAAAGATGTTAGAATCCAAAATATAAAAGGAATGATGGAAGAAAATAGAGATATTTAACTAGCATAGGAAGAGACCTCAGGGAGCCTTTGATCAGTCTTCAGGTACCTGAAGGGGTTTTCCATGGGGATAGAGAGAAATTCTTAGCTCCAAGGGGCAGAGTTAACACTACGGGGAGGAAGAGGATTGCTTATTACAAGGAAAATAACAATATTGCTACTATTTATAAGGACCACTGCATGAGGTATGTACATACATCATTCATTTAATCTTTCCAACAATCCTACAAGTTAGGCAATGTGACCCTCCTTTTATTTTATTATTATTTTTCTTTATTGATTTTTAGAGAGAGAGAGAGAGAGAGAGAGATGGAGAACATCGATTGGCCACCTCCTGCACCCCCCCCACTGGGGATCGGGCCCACAACCTGGGCATGTGTCCTGACCGGGAATCGAACCAGCGGCCTCTTGGTGCATGGGTCGACGCTCAACCACTGAGCCACACACCGGCCGGGTGTGACCCTCCTTTTATAAATCAAACAAGTTAAGTAATTTTTCCAAGATCACCCAGCAAGTAAGTGCCAAAGTGAGATTCAAAGGAGACCTGATGCCGGGCTGTTAGTTCACACCTGTGATTGCGCCCAAGCCAGGACTGAGTAAAAAATATTCTCTTTCCTACCAAAATATATATATATATATATATATATATATATATATATTCTCTTTCTTTGCACTGGGAAGCCTGTAGGAGCAGCCCAGGAGGCCGATTCACTGTATTTCAACAGTGGACATGGGCTGGTTTTTCCTAGAAGGACCTTTTAGGAGATTTTGCTTCTTTGGGGTTTTGGTGCTGATTTTTTTTTTTTTGTACGTGCCCTTAGCGGGAACCGAACCCGGGACTCTCCGGTCCACAGGCCGACGCTCCAACCACTGAGCCAAACCAGCCAGGGCAGTTTTGGTGCTGATTTAAGAGGCTGTAAAATTTTATTCATTCCAAAAGTTTATTATTTGGTTCCCTCTTATCTACTTAGAAAATATCTGAATGATCCAGGTTAGCATATGTGCTATTGCCATAAGTGGCTTAATTCATACAACCATATAACTGTCTAGTCTTATCCTTTCACTCATATCCAATCTATTATGAGAAACTTTGCCAAAGGCCTCGTGGGTGTCAACGTCTGTTAAATCAAGGGCAGTGCAGAGACACCATGGTGCATGGGAGAGGTAATGGAGCGTAGAGTCAGATTAACTTGAGTTCAAATGCTAGTCATTCCAACTGTTATGTAACTAGAAAAAAAATCACATAACTTCTCTGGGCTATTTCTTCTCATTAGCAAATGGTGATCACACACACACACACACACACACACACACAGAGGCAGACTCTTTTATTGACTTTCTGTTTCCCAACACTGAGATCCCTGGACTTGTATTGACTTTACCTGATTTCACCAAAGCCTCCCATACCAGAGTCTCATCTTTTTTGTTTCTAATTTGCAGCCTGATCCCTGACCCCAAAGGGCCAATGTAGAACTCACAGAAGAGCTGGGGTTTCCCAGAGCTGCGATAGCAGAGCTCCAGTTCCTGTAGGAAAAAATTGTCATGTGAGAAACCACTATTCATCCTGCAAGTGAGGTCTCTCCCCACCTGAAACCTTCTTGGCCCTGCTCAGCCCCATGAGGATCCTTGGATGATCTGTACTGAGATTAATCACCACCTCAGACACTGATCTTCTCTTCGTTTTCCACAAACCCTGACTCAGGAGGAAGAGGACACAGCTAGGTACCCCCTGGGTGAATCAGGACTCATCCATAAAGTAGTGCTCACTTATCCTAAATCAGATTCTTCTCCCTTCATCTTGAACCAGATCCTTCTTCCTCCACCTCCCCCATCTTGAACCCAAATCCTCATTTCTCCAGCCCAAAGCCTGTCTTCTCAATGGATCCTAAGCTTGACGTACTTTCAATTAACAAAAAATGTATGTCCATCCCCTTTCCTAAATCACATTCAAGATGACTCTTGATTCCCAACTGTCTTCTAAACACTTTCATGTCCAGTTTCCCCAAAATCATTAAATGGCACTACCACCTGCTGAGAACTCATGGCCCAGATTTAGGCCATCATCCTTCACTCCTACCTTTCTCTCCCATACACTGAGTTGGCTCTATTTCCAACATATATTCTGAATCCACCAACTTATCTTTATCTTGGCTGCTTCTTCTCTAATCAAGCCACTTGCAGGTCCTGCATATACTATACTATAGCAACAGCCTTTTGACGTGTCTTTTTTTCTTTCTTTCATTTTTTGTTCAGATAGAGTGGGAGGGAGAGAGAGGTAGAGAGAGCGAGAGAAACATCGACGTGAAAGGGACACATCGAGTGGCTGACACCCGCACGACCAACCAGGGCCGGGGACAAACTACAACTGAGGTACGTGCCCTTAGCGGGAACTGAACCGGGTCTCTTTGGACCGCAGGCCGACGCTCTAACCGCTGAGCCAAAATGGCCAGGGCTTGACCTGCCTTTTGTTTTCACTCTTGTCTTCTTATCATCCATTCTTACCTAGCAGCCAGACGCTCTGAGATATTGTCATTGCACTTAGAACAAAATCCAAACTCCACATCAGGGCAACAAGGTCAATGGGCCCTAGGAAATCTCTGTCTCTTGTGTAAACCCATCTTACTTCTCTCTTTTGCTCCACTCATTAAGCTCTGCCACAAGACCTCCTATTTGTCACATGGAGGGATCAAGGGTGCCTGTTCCGCTCGGCTGGTGTGGCTCAGTAGATTGAGCACCATCCCATGAACTGAGAGGTCCTGGTTCTATTCCCAGTCAGGGCACATGCCCGGGTTGTGGGCTCTATCCCCAGATGGGGGTGTGCAGGAGGCAGCTGGTCAATGTTTTTCTCTGACATTGATGTTTCTATCTCTCTCTCTCTAAAAAATCAATGAAAAAAATGGGTGCCTGTTTGCCTGTTGCTCTATGCCTCTGCACCTGAAGGGTTCTGATACAAATGTCCATGTCCCAGACCCTTCTTGTCACCCAGGACTCAGCTCATATGTCACTGCTCAGAGACTCCTCCCCTGACCACCCAGTATAAAGTATCTCAAGTCACTCTCTTAAATGGCATAGTTGTGTTTTTCTCATAGCACTCCATGGTTCTTGGTCTATTTCTTTAATTACGTAGGTCTCATCCACCAGAATGTCATCTTCCCAAGGTCATGGTCTGTCTTGTTCACTGGACTATCACACATGAAGACAGCACATGGTTGGTACTGGATAAATATTTGTTGAATGACTTAATTATGTCTCTCATCCCTTGTTAAGAATTGACACAGCAGGAAAGTCTAAGGTATTTGTTGTTGTATACATGTTTTTCAACTCAAAAGATATATAACACTTCTTCATTACTACTGGAAATGTCTTCCATCTGCCATTGTCACTTAAAGTGGTCCAAGGACTCATCTGAGAAAAGAAGAAAATGAAGGACTGACCCTGGTTCAACAACAGACTACCATTCAGTTGAAACTCTGACACTGAGCAGCAAAATATAGCCAATGGTAAAAATTTGGATATCATGGATAAATGTCCAGTGGCCTGACATTGTCCACTGTCAGTGGAAAGGGGAGACTGAGAAGAAATAAAAGACAGCCCCAGATGTCCAGATCTGGTGTGATTCTCACAGCTTGACTTCAGTGTTATTACAAACTCATCTGAGGCTGCCATCTCTGCCATGTTGTCCTCCTGTTGGCCATACGCAATCTCACAATTGTCGAACATCGTCCCAACCCACTGAAAAATGAGCTATTTTAGCAATTATACCTTTATACTTGCTGTGCCTGCCCTTTCTAGAGAGACAATGTGTTGATGTTCCCAATCACAGAACTGCCCTATCTTCTCAGAACACCAGATCTAGACCGAATCTCCATTTCCTGAAATCTTCCCCCAAATTACACAACCAAGGCCCCAATTCTGAAATAGGTTCTTTCTGAGGCCCTTGATCTGAGGGGCCCTACAGTTGCCATCGGTGCATGTTCTCCCATTGCAATGAGTAAGAACCCCAGTATGTTCAGCTACCAATGTGTTTTGGGTGGTTTTAATTGGAAAGCATCGACACCCTACAGCCCAACATTTCTCAGAGCCCCTACATCAGACCCCATTGTTGTCCCGATCCTGAATGTAGCCCTTTCTCCTACTATCTATTTTTCTTTCAATCTTTGAAGGATTCCTGCTCGCCCCATGTCCCACTTGCTATCTTCCCAACCCCAACTGGGCCTGTCCCTTGGAAAGCTCTGAGACCTGACCCACAGCTATTCCCAAGCATGACCTCTGATCTTAGGGAGGGAGAAATATCTGGGCTGCTCACCTCAGGGATTATTTCCATTTCCTGTGGACCAGACACAATATATTGGGAGCCTATGTGGAGCGGGGTCAGCGGGGGTGGCTTGGGTATTCGCACAAACTGGAACTTAGTTTTTTCATCATTGATCGCCTAAGGAACACATAGAACACTGATCAGAAGAGGAGGGCGTCTGGGTCTGGCCCCATAGAATCTGGTCTAAACAAAGTGAGGTGATGCTTTCACATATTTATGTGGGTGGAGGAACTATACTACTCATAGCCCCCTCGCCCCCCTCCCCTGACATGACTGCTACACAGAGAACCCCGTACTTGAGCTGAGCTACGTTCAGAGTGGGAATTAGGGCATTGCTAGAGAAGAAGTGAGAATGGAGGCATGAATACAGCTCCAGGCATGGAGCCCTCTCATCCTTCTGACTCCTGGAAATAGGCTGCAAAAGGGTGTCCAGTGATGAGTGGTGGGGCAGTGAACCCAGTTGAGAGAGGCCTTAGGAACCCAGGAGACCATCCATGGCCCACCCGTAAGCCCAGTCGACCCATCTATACATGACACGCACCCATCTGGATGCATGTCATGTCTCTGTCAGCCCACCCTGGACTGGCCTTTCTGGCTCTGGAAGTAACCTTCTCAACGGTGCAGTCGCTGGGGATTAGGTAGAGGTGGAAGTTGACTTCCTCGGGATGGAGGCGATGGTAGAGCAACACATTGCAGATGACAGGAATGCCCAGGGAAGCATGGATCTTTCTCAGTAGAACCCCCATGGGGGAGAAGCTGGGGTTCTCTAGGACAGTGTAATGGGGCTCCACCTTGGCTGGCTTCTCCAGAAGTATCCCATCCTCTTTAAAGTGGGCCACTTGGAAACAGGAGATGTCCACATGTCCCTCTGTGAAAAAATGGATTAGCGTGGTGAGTACTTAGTGCCCTCACTGAGTCAGGCTAGACTGGGGCAGTGAGGAGCTTGGGCGTAGGCTCAGTGGCCTTTCTGGGAGACCCAGCAGGGAAGGCAGCATGCCTGTGTCTTGGGCCCCTTGGGGCTGAGGTCAATAGTTTCTCTACAGCTGGAGACCACTGGAATCCCCTCAAGCCAAACCTATACACAGCCGCTGTCCTTGAGCCAGGAAGATATTGATCCCATGGTTACCTGTGTTACCGTGGATTCTGTAGCTATGAGGACTATTGAGTAATGCTGGCGGGTGTGATCCAGACAGGCAGAAACAAGGAGAATGGGACAGTGGAAAATAGAATGACCAAGGGTAGTGTACATTTGTCAAGTGTTTGGTCAACCATCATTCCGAATCTTGTTTTGGGGGAGAACCTCCTCCTCCATCACTGTATGGGTCTTGGCAAAATACAAGCTGGGCCTCCCATTGGGGAAGCTGTTACCCCTTCGAAAGGATGACACAGGTGTGTAAACAAGACTTGACCAATGGATGCTACTAGCCAGAACCTTGATCTAGAGGTGGTAAAGCACGGAGGAAAAGACAGGGGTTCTTCGGCAGCAGCAGTGGGGTCAATAGGCCAGCAGCCACCGCGGCAGGAGGGTTCTGCAGTGGTCGTGCCTACAGCACAAGTCTCTCCATATTTTTCTTGTTTGGACCTTGGCTGTGTTCTTGGTTTCTCAACAGTCTTTGGTCACTGCCTTTTTATTTTCTCTTTAAGACTTGTTGCCCAATTGTTTCTTAAGTCTATGAGCTACTCAATAATCTTCTTATACATTCCTTTTCTGCCCAAATCAGCCTCAGTCTGCATAGGCACCAATCAGCACATGGTTGACTGGTTAATCCCAGGAGGGGCCGTGGAGACTGCTACTTAAGTTTATTCACTTATTCATTGCTCTTGTTTTTGCATGAACAATAATATCATAGTGGTATACACTACCTGACAAAATACAGAAGTATTTCCTCTGATCTCACCAAGCAATACAACTACTATAACCATCTTTGCTTTTTTCGTTAGTCTGTCTCTGCAGCAACACCTTTCATGTTTTCATTACAGGCCATGTAGCTCTGTTTCCTGCCTTTCCCACGCTCGTTTAAATTGTCCCTGTAGACCTAATGACTGCAGCACATGATCCCTGCCAGTGGGGGCAGCATCCCATAGTTCACCGCTCCTTCTTGTTTCAGCATTGGGGTCGCTTCCACCTTTTCATTATGATAAACAGTCCTGCAATGCACATGCTCCTGCAGAGAACTTTTCAATTTTCCTTGAGCTGTTACCTTGGAATTGTAAGTCCCAAGGGATGAGAAAGTATGTGAAAGAATGAGCATTTCTATAACTTGCCATGTTTTGTCAAATTGCTTCTCCCAGAGTTGGTGCACTTTGCACTGCCTTGGTGACACTAAGTGGATGGTGTCACCTCACTCTCCACAGAACTGGAATGTCCTCGTGTGTCAGAGGGGTGAACTGAAGCCCCTGGAGGGAAGTGCTGTTTCACTCCATAGAAGGTGAGGTTGGAAGAAGTAACCCATCCCAGCTTGTTGTCTGAGCCCTCGGCACCTTCTCCCTTGTGCTTGGGCCTCTATAGCACCTGACTCATCTAGCACCTCCCTCCCCACTGTTTTACTCCTGAATTTTCCCTGGTTAATCTTCCCCAGTGACCCGTCTGTCACGCCAGCCTTCCCTGGGCTTTGAGGCTCTCCCCTGGGGACTGGCCTCTGTTTCTCCTGCGCCCCCACTTGCCTCCTGATGAACAGCTTGAATTGTTCACCAAACCTTGTGGTCTCAATAAATGAGGCTCCCCTGGGTCTGGGCAGTGCTTTGCTTGTTTAGTTTTCTCATTCTATTTTTTCTTTCTACTAGTTTGTAAATTTTTCTTACATATATATGTTTTTGACTGAGGATGCTAATATTTTAATGTGTGTACTTAAAGTCTCAAGTAAATCAATGCCTGTACCTAGAGGTGATACAACTATATTCAACTACTGGAAGGGCACTATAATTTAATCCATCAAGCTGTACAGTCATGCACAGCTGAACTATGGGGATGTGCTCTGAGAAACGCATCCCTCGGCAATTTCGTTGTCGTGTGAACATCATAGAGTGCACTTACACAAACCTAGATGGTATAGCCTACTACACACCTAGGCTGTATGGAATACTACCATCCTGTATGTGGTCTGTCACTGACTTAACCGTCGTTATGTGGTGCATGACTGTAAATGAAACATTAAAATTATATTCCCTTTCTTTTCTGAATAAACTATACATATCATAAAAGTGCTTACGACTGATATAAGCTGTAATATGAATTGCTTATTAAATCATTCTGTCATAATTGAATAGAGTTCCTGTCCGAGTCATGATTTGACATGGGGAACCACATCAGGTTCTTGTAACTTTCGTATTAAGTTGATAAACATTAGGTCTCTGGCAGCCAGCCCTGGCCGGGTGTGTATCTGATGCCACTCATGGCCCGGACTGACGAGCCTGTGCCTCAGCCCCTCCAACCACACTGCTCCTGCTGCCCACGAGGCTCAGACTGTACTGCCTATGCCTGGGTGAGTGGAGAGATGCCCCCCAGCCACCTCATCTACGCCTGCACATATGCAAACCCTGTTACTCGCCCCCGTGGCCACTACTGGATGATGTTGTTGGGTCGCTTCTGGTCTCAAAAACTGGAGAATTTCTCTTTGCTGATCAGTACTGAAGTATTTCAGCATTTTAACCCGGATGGCAGTACCGGTGCCACCTTCACCCTCCTTGTGGACTATACACGAAGACCTTTGGGTTCTTGAGCACTCTGCCTGCTATTGTCGCATTTTAGTTTTCTCTCTTTTAAAAACTCCACACATCAGCCCTGGCCGGTTTGGCTCAGTGGTTACAGCGTCGGCCTGCGGTCCTGAGAGACCCGGGTTCGGTTCCCGCTAAGGGCATGTACCTCGGTTGCAGTTTGTCCCCGGCCCTGGTCGGTCGTGCGGGTGGCAGCCACTCGATGTGTCCCTTTCACATCGATGTTTCTCTCTCTCTCTCTGTTCCTCTCTCTCCCTCCCACTCTACCTGAACAAAAAATGGAAAAATGTCCTCGGGTGAGGATAAAAAAAATAAAATAAAATAAAATCTCCACACATCAAACACTTTTACTGGTGTTTTATCCAGTCATCGGTTTGTTAGATTTACCCAGGTGCATTTTAGTTTCTTCGCTGATCATTTAATCTTGCACCCCGCACCTTCCATGTGGGATTATTTTCTTTTTGCCTGAGGTTTTGACAGTGAGCTTATATGTTTTGGAACTTTACCTGTTAGAAGTCTTTGGAGGTGGGAGAGGTTGGGATAACCACCTAACCCTTTATGGTGCTGTCTCCTACTGAGATGCCCTTCTTTTGTGGCTTGAGCTCTCAAGTGGAGTTAGGTGACACTGTTTCTTCTCTCTGCCTGTAGCAGTAGCACGACTTCCTACTTGTTGTTAGTCTCTAGGTACCTAAACCTTTCTTGTTTGTTCACTTAGCCTTACTTTGCAAGTAGTCTTGTGTTTGAAAAGTCTCTTCAAAAAATCTCAACTGAGTATATCATATATTTTCTGCTGGGACCCTGAGTGATACAATGTATGGGAAGAAACGTAATAAATGCTAGTTATTATTGTTACTGAGGAGACCACTTTCTATTGCAGGAAAATTTCAAGTAATTCAGGCAAAAATGATTATGACCCTGGGGGACACAATGTTTCAAAAAGATATGCCTAGAGAGCGGCGGAATGAGGGATATAGCTGTCTCCACTTCTACAACCGTCTCTCGGTCTTTCTTTCTTTTTTTTTTTTTATCCTCACCTGAGGACATTTTTCCATTTTTTGTTCAGATAGAGCAGGAGGGAGAGAGAGGAAGAGAGAGAGAGAGAGAAACATCGATGTGAAGGGACACATCGAGTGGCTGCCACCCGCACGACCAGGGCCAGGGACAAACTGCAACCAAGGTACGTGCCCTTAGCGGGAACCGAACCCTGGTCTCTCTGGACCGCAGGCCAACGCTTCAACCGCTGAGCCAAACCGGTCAGGGCTCTTTTTTTTTTAATCCTCACTCGAGGACATTTTTTGTTCAGATAGAGCGGGAGGGAGAGAGAGGAAGAGAGAGAGAGAGAAACATCTATGTGAAGGGACACATCGAGTGGCTGCCACCCGCACGACCCACCAGGGCCGGGGACAAACTGCAACCGAGGTACGTGCCCTTAGCGGGAACCGAACCCGGGTCTCTCTGTACCGCAGGCCGACGCTCTAACCGCTGAGCCAAACCGGCCAGGGCCGTCTCTCAGTCTTTCTAAGGAGTCCACAAACTCCCCACTCAGGACATTACCCTCTGAATCCATTCCGGGCCCATTCTCATCACCTTCCCTCTACATCTCCTTTCACTTACCCTGGAAGGCCACAAAGTGAGGGAGGTACACAGCGGCCACAGCTCCTGGTTCAGCCTTGATGTCAAAAAGAGGCCCTGCAACCATCCAACTGTGCGGTGGGACCATCTGGTCCAGGAACCGATCCCAAGCACAGAATTCAATCTCAGTGGTCACCAGCCATCTCACCACAAAGTGGAGACCTGTGCTGGGCCAGTGGTAGGAGCCAGCCATGGGGAAGTGAACTCTGGGGAGAACAGGAAGAGGTAGACATTGAATTAGTTACGGTACGCGAGCTCACTGAATACCTGCCGGGTGCCCGGCCCCATGCAGTGCACTGTGTATCTAGTACAGTGGCTGCGAGTTCAGATTCCACAGTCAGAGGAACTTGGGTTTGAGTCCTGGCCCCTCTGCTCTCTACTGTGGATCCCTGAGTGAGTCACTGAACCTCCCTAATCTCAGTTTTCTTATCTGTAAGTAAAGGTAATCTCAGAGAGCTGTGAGTAATAAGTGACCTAATGTGTGCTGACGCTTAGTACATGTCTGGGGTGGTCATCTGTTTCTATAATGATGAGGATGATGAGTATAATAATAATATTCATAATGTTAACATAGAAAAGTATTCTTGTTTTTTTTTTTTTTTTTTATCCTCATTCAAGGACATTTTTCCATAGACAGAGTGGGAGGGAGAGAGAGGAAGAGAGAGAGAGAGGGAAACATCTATGTGAAAGGGACACATCGAGTGGCTGCCACCCGCACGACCAACCAGGGCCGGGGACAAACTGCAACCGAGGTACGCGCCCTTAGCGGGAACCGAACCCGGGTCTCTCCGGACCGCAGGCGGACGCTCTACCGCTGAGCCAAACCGGCCAGGGCAGTATTCTTGTTTTTAAAGGGCCTAATTTTAATAATTTCTAACAATCTACATGGTGATATTAATGATAACTCACTTAGAGCTTAAATCAACTCTTACAGAGATTTTCCCCAGGTCCCCATTGGCAAAGAGTGGGTTCCTGGGATGTCAGCTTCTGTGTGTGTAAGTTGGGAGTAATATTATCCCCCAAATGAGATCACGTCTATGACAGTTGATGGTAATGTGTTATGTGAGGGATCAGGACTGAGATTATAGACATTTATTAGTTATGACTGGGACCCCTCGGAAGGCAGGGCTCCATAGTCATTTCATGGCTCCTGGTTACTGGTATGGTACTTTGCACATAGTGGATGTTAACAAAACAGGAACATGGAAAGAGGTTTATGAAACAGAACAAACCAAACACAACAAGCGGACTTTGGATCCTGATTAGAACAAACCACCTGCAAGGACACATTTTGGACAGTTGAGCATATCTGAATACAGACTGAGTATTAGGTGATATTAAAATGTCTTCTTGTAAATGTTGTTAGATATGATAATGGCATTGTGGTTATGGGAGAAAAGGTCTTTGTGTTTTTCTTTTCTTTTTTTTTTTTTATCCTCACCCAAGGACATTTTTCCATTTTTTGTTCAGATAGAGGGGGAGGGAGAGAGAGAGAGAAAGAAACATGGACGTGAAAAGGACACATCGAGTGGCTGCCACCCGCATAGCCAACCGGGGCGGGGGACAAACTGCAACCGAGGTACATGCGTTTAGCAGGAACCGAACCCGGGTCTCTCTGGACCACAGGCCAACGCTCTAACCGCTGAGCCAAACCCGCCAGGGTGGTCTTTGTGTTTTCCTAAATGCATCACAAAATATTTACGGATAAAATCACTTGATATCTTGGATTGAAAACACTATTACAACAAAAGGGGGAAGTGAATAGTTGAAACAAATTTGGTAAAATGGTTGTTGAAGCTGCATAACGAGTAAGTGAAGGTTCCTTAGATTCTTTTTTGGAGTTGGTTTGCAACTTTTCATAATAAAACCTCTGTTTCCATCATAAAAGCACCAACCCAGTATCTCAGTTCTGTGTCTGTCAGGTGGCTTGGCAATGGGAGAGGGCCCAACGAGCCCTAAGTCGGGTGCTAACTGTCTGCTGGGGCTCAGTGTGGGGACGGTGGGGCGGGGGGGCCAGCCTGGCGCAGCAGAGTCCCTTCACTCACCGGTACAGACTCTTGTCTTTGTCAACCACCTCTATAGCCACAGGCCCCGTGGGGCCCCAGAAGTCATCATTGGTCCCTAGAGGCTCCACCGGTGCGTTCCCCAGATGTTCAGAAGAAGACGGACAGAAGGGTCCCACCTGTGCTACTTGAGGGCAGCTCTCTGGAAAAAGCAGGGCAGTGGTCAGCTTTAGGGTCCCCTGCCTGGCCGCTCTACCCTCTCGGCTAGACCACGCAGGGGCCCTTCCTAAGGCTGGTCTGCCTGGTTCTTGAAGGGAGTGTGTCTGTAGCCTCTGTCCCTGCCCCTGGGACTGTCTGCCTGCTGTCTGAGGAAGCCCAACCTGCTGCCCACCGGCCCCACTCCTGCCCACATCACCCCCTCGCTGGTCCAGAGGTATTGCTCTTCCCAGCATCCACCAGCAAGGTAACTTGCGAGGGAAACATGGCTCAAAAAATGGATGGGTAGGGCTGGAAAGGTTATTCTTGGGCCGCAGAAGCCCAGCATGGGCCTCGGGAGACTGGGCCCTGGATCAGAGTCTGAGACATGCCAGAGATGTCCTGGAGAGAAATAGCCTCAGCCTGAGGCCAAAGAGAGGAAAGCAGAGATCTTGAAGTTCTGGAGTGGGGCAAGGGTCTTCTAGGTGGGCATTTTGCCATGTCCCACAGCACAGGTAGGGGGATGGAGGGCATGCCTGTCCACATTTTCCCTTTCTCATCCCAAGTCATGATGCTTTCCGCCTGGGTCCTTCAAAGTACCTGATTCTGGTTCTTGCCATTTGAGTGGGGACGTGTCCTCATCCATCTGTCCTCCACCTGGGGCCTCCTTAGTGATCATCAGACTTGACTTCCTAGACGCAGAGTTGTTCATTCTCCCTGAGGTCTCGGAGGAAGCTGGGGCTGTCTATGTGACATGCCCACTTAAACTCAACTCATCTGAATTGGAACTCATGGCCTTCACTTGAGACTCTCCCATAGGCCCTGTCTCCGCGAAGGGCCCCCATCTACCCAGCCATCCATGCCAAAATTGGGGCGTGGTCTTGACTCCTCGCTCCCTCTGAGGGCTGACTGAGCACCTTGACACTGCCTCCAGAACAGCTCTCCTTTCTCGTCCTTCTCTGCACCTGCACGGCCACCACCCCAGGCCCAGGCCCTGGCGTCTCCCTAAGGATCCTCTGCTTCTCTTGGTTCTCGCCATCCCGTTTCTATACAGCCTCCGATCTTCACCATGAACCTGACTCAGCACTTTGCTGCTAAACCCTGAAGTCCCTCCTTGTTGCTATTGGGGGTAGAATCAAAAGCTCTTAACACAGCCCAAAGGCCTATGTGTGGTCCTGTCCCACACCCCAGCCCCACCTCACCCAGTCCCACCCTCCTGCTCACTCACCTCTACTCCAGTGCTTCTCCCAGGCCCTTACCTGGAGGCCTTGTTAAAACAGATCCCTGGGCTCACCCCATAGTCTGGCTCAGCCGGTCTGGAGGGGGGCCCAAGATTTCCATTTTTAATGAGATCTCAGGTGATGCTGATGGTGACAGTGCTGGTTCACGGACCACACTTCGAGTAGCACTGCTCCTGGTACCTGGCCTCTTTCTACTCCTCAAAGGAGCTGAGATCAGAGCCTCTACGTCTGCTGGGAATTGACCCCTCTTGGCCCAGCTAAGCCCTCCCATCTTTCATAACTCAGCTCAAGTCCTTTGACCAGTGTCTAATAGACCCATCAATACATTCACCCTGACCCCAGACACAACGGTATAGGTGTGTGTGGGGTAACCTGGGCCTGAGTCCTGGCTGAGTTGAGCCCTCGTTCACGGCCCTGTGCCTGCCACCCTGTGGGTCTGAGGGGAAAGCTTGTTCCCCGATGAACGGCTCCTCCTCCTAAGCCTGGGAGCCCTTTCCTTCCATGTCAGGTGAGGCAGAGCAGCCAGGAGCGGGCACAGGCCAGAGTGCACCAAAGTGAAAGGCCAGTGGGGCTGTCTGTCTCTGCCTCCAACCTTGCCCCACCCCACTTCCGGCCCATGCCTCTGGACCAGCCTCAAGGAGTCAGCCCTGGGCCTAGGTCAGCTCGAGGGGGTTCTGGGTCTCCCCCTTACCCACTGCCAGTGAGGATCAGCTCAGGCTTCTCCTGCGTCAGGGCCCTCAGCATCTCTGCCACCTCGTCACTCAGCTGAGCCTGGTCCAGCCTGCAAGCGCAAAGGGGGCCTGGTTATCCTGGGGCCCCGCACGATCCCAAGGTCCCCAGGGCCCAGAAGCACGGAAATGTCTCTCTCTGGCAGGAACCTCTTGTAGGGTGGCTTCTGCAAAACCAGGTGCTGAGATGGAAAATAGACTTAGGAGGTGTATAGGGAGTGCTTTTGGGTCAACATCAGGACAAAGGAAGGGAGGAAGCAGGATGGGCAGAGGGACAAGTTGGGCTGTGATGCAGTTTCAAGGGATAGAGATGATTCTGTGGGACTTCTAATGTGGGGATGACCCTCCAGAGCTGTTCCATACTAGGAGGAGGGGTGGGTCTTTATACTGCTGCACCAGTCAGTCACTGGATGCAGGCCACCCCCTGAAAGGGCGGTGACCTCGTGTGAGATGGCCCTAGTTGGCAGAGGCCACCCAAGTGGCCGGCTGCTGGCAGCTCTCGCAGGGTCTGGAGTTCCATCTTCATTCCTGAAAGGGAACTGGACAGTACTTCACAGAATCCACCTGAAAACAGCCAGTCCCCATGGCCTCAAACTGACCACATAGGAGTAGCTCCTAGGATTTCCCTCCTGGAGGGTAAGAGATGTCCTGGGAAGAGAGAACCCTGTTTCCACCCTCACAGACCTTGTGCTCTGGGTTTCTGTTGGATTTGGGATAGATGCTGCCCCTCTGGGCCTCCATGCCCTCATCTCCAGCAGGGATGGACCTGCTGTGCCTGTCGTGAGCCATGGACAAGGCAGGTGAGAAGACCCTGCACCCTGTAAAGGGCTCACATCTCTCTCCTTACTGCTGTCAGAGCTGGTCTCCTCTGGGGAAGGTATGGAACCATATTGCAGAAGGCTGTCTGTCTCATCCCAGTCCCAGGGCTCTAGGAAGGAAGGAGGCAGAAATCCTTGCAGGACAACCACGATGTGACCAGGAAGGGGAGAGCAGGGCACAGATGCAGACCTACTGTAAAGGCACAGCTCTGGAGAGGCCCTTGCGCGTACAGGAGACGGTGACAGTCACAGTGCTCAGTGGGGAGGGGTCTGGGGTGGGAGGTGCCAGCCTCACGGAACGGAGTTCCCTCGGTTGTGAAGGGTCAGGGTGGGCTGTGGAAGGACCCACATGTAGAGTGCTAACCCTGCTATCCTGCCCCTGCTGCTGCTTTAGGTTTGAGAAAGGGGGGCCGGTGGAGGAAAGGCTGAGAGCTGGCCGGAGCCTCAGCCAAGGCCTAGGGGTCGGGACATCGAGGTTTGAAGCCAGCTCTGTGAGTGCGACAGGCCCCAGCCAGGAGCTGCAGGCAACGTTCAGTCAGAAACAGCCTGTGGACTCGTTCTCAGACTGGGGAGGAGAGAGGAACTGGCCGGGAGACAGCGTGGGAAATGAGGGCTTGGGGTCACTGCACCGCAGCCACACAGGTCTCCGGTGCTCAGCCCGTTTCTGTCCTGAGGTCTCCCCTGCAGTAGTCTCTTCGTCTGGACTATTCCCCCTGACTGGGTCTGGTCAACTTCTCTTTCTGTTTCAGATCTCAGCCTGATGTCACTTTCCCAGAGAAGCCCTCCCTGCCCCTCAGTCTCATTCCATCCTCTCCCAACATTACACTCGCCCAACACAGTGCACTTTCCCTTCACTGAACTGCACGGAGCTTAGAAACGCACACTGTGTGTTAACATGTGTTTAACATCTATCTCGTTCCCGCTGGAGTGTGAGCCTCAGAGGGCAGGCCCGTGTCTGTAGCTCACTATTGTCCCCTCAGTGCCCTGTGCTTGGCACATGGGAGGCATGCAGTGAATGAGTGAATGAAGCAAGGACGGAAGGACGGAAGGACGGACTGCCCTGAGTGCAGAAGTGGACCTGGGCGTCCCGGAGAACATGTGGCCTCACCAGTGGTTATCATTCGAGTCTCTCAGCTCTCTTCCCAGCACTGTTCTAGTTTTACTTGCATTTTATTTCATCACGTCTATAAGGTGGATATGACAGTCCCATTATACAGATGAAGAAACCGAGTCTCAGATGAAGACTTCCCCAAGTCTCATGGTCTAAGTAAGTGGCAGAGATGAAACCCAAGCAGACCATGCATTTTTCTGTCCTTTTACTTCCCCTGTCCAATTCAGGGCCCCCATATCCCTTTCCATTTCACCCGCTCCGCTTACCTGCCCTCTACCCAGAAAGGATGCACAGGGACTTACCCAAGGTGCCTGAGTTGGCAGTTAGACTGCCTGAGCACTTCACAGAGCAGCTTCACACCGAGGTCACCCAGGTCATTCTGCTGCAAGTCCAGCTTTGTCAGCATAAAGTTGTTACTGAGCATGGAGGCCAGGTCCTTGCAGCAGCCAGAGGTGAGGCCACAGTTGACCAGCCTGTGGGAGAGATTTGCATGGGTCCAGTCATTTTCCTGAGGGCCCTCTCCTTGTGGTAAGTAGGGTCTGGTTTCCCTTTCTAGTACCTGTGGCCTCTTGGGGGTCCTTGGTGACATTAGAGGAAGTTAAAGATGTGTCTGGAGAGAACACTTATAACTGGGGCCATAAGGAGGAGCCTAAATAGAGACTGGTGGGTGGTGTGGAGGTGAGAGGGTTGGCTGGGCTCCCACAGGCAGCAGCTGAGGGCTATCTTAGCTGTGAAAAGTTCCCTCTGAGAAGTCTAGGGTTTAAACTCCAAGCTGGCTCCCCACCACACCGTGGCAGATTAGGAAAGGTGCCCACGTAACACCTGCTGTGAAAAACACCAGAGCAGAGGTTCTGTCCAGCAGGGAGAGGCACTGGGGACTCAGGCACCCACCTGAAGGGCCAGCGCACTAAATTATAGCTACAGCCACTCACCTTGCGCTCCTGCAAAGGGAGGGTGGACTGGACTGGAACTGTGTGAGGAGAGTCAGGGGTTCATGGCACCGGGGAGAGAGCTGGGAAGGAGGCCATCAGGAACCTTATGCTAAAGCAACTGCCCCACCCATTGGGATTTAACCTTGCCCAGCCAGGAGAAGCACAAGATGAGGCTCATTAACCATCAGAGACTACCAGATAGCCAGTAGGCAGAGACAAGTCTCCGAATGCTTTGAGCTTTGGGCTGGGCTCTCAGTTATTGGATTTCAGGGATCTGGGGACCAAACTGTGAAGGCAGCTGCTTGGGCCCCTGGGCTGAGCCATTAACCTATGCTGCAGAAGCCATTTTTCTCAGGTAGAGTTTTCCCATCAAAGCAGCTACAGCCTGGGGGAGGAGGGGAAGCAATTGTCCCACCTATTAGAATTTAACTCCTCTGGCCAGGAGGAGTCAGCACCTAGCACAGAACTGCAACCTGAGGCTCAGTAACTGTCAGAGACTACCAACCAGCCTGCAGGTGGAGATGAGTCTCTGGGTGATTTGAGCCTTGGGCCTGGCTCACGGTTATTGGATTTCAAGGCTCTGGGGTCCTACTGTGAAGGTGGCTGCCTGGGCTTCTGTGCTGAATCATTAACCCATGTTGCAGAAACCATTTTCTTCAGGCAGAGTTTTTCTCTCAAGCATCTTTAGCTTGGAGGGAAGCAAATGCCCCACCTGATGGAAATCTTCTTACCCTGCCCACCTGGGAGAGTTTTTATGCAGCTGAGGGCTACAACCTGAGGATTATTAAGTGACTGAGACGAACAGTCAGCCTGCAGGCAGAGGCTCTGGGATACTTGAATCTTTGCCTGGCCTGTAACTCTACCTGGGAGAGTAAGACCAGACTTTGATGTTCAGATTGGTCTCTTCCACACACATTCAAACCCAGCAGAGGAAGCCACAATCTGTGGAACATCAATACCCACAGGGAGATTTTAGCAGGCTCCAAACCCTGCTGAGACAGCCAAAATAGTAAAACAAAGAAACAGATCCTAAATGAAAGAAAAAGAGAATTCTCCAGAAGAAGGGCCAAATAAAATGGAGATAAGTAAGTTATCAGATAATAAAGTTCAGAGTAATGATTATGAGGCTGCTCAACAGCATGGGAAAAGATAAAGAAGCAATGAAAAATGACCAAATGGAAATCAAGAATGACATAGCAGAAATACAAAACACATTGGAAGGAATAACCAGCAGATTAGAGGAAGCCAAGGACTGGATCAGTGAATTAGAAGACAGGGTAGAAAAAAATCAATCAGAGAACTAAAAAGAAAAATTAAAAAATAGGACAGTTTAAGAGAGCTGTGATCAATATGAACTATAACAACATCTGCATCATAGGAGTACCAGAAGAAGAAGAAAGTGAGCAAGGATTCGAAAATCTGTTCAAAGAAATAGTGGCAGAAAACTTCCCTAACTTGGTGAAGGAAAAAGGCATATAAGTTCAGGAAACACAAGGAGTCCCAGGCAAGAAGAACCAAAAGAAACCCAAGACACATCATAATTAAAATGCCAAAAATGAAAGACAGAGAGAGAATCTTAAGGGCAGCAAGAGAAAAGCAAGAGTTTATTTACAAAGGAGCTCCCATAAGGCTGTCAGTGATTTCTCAACAGAAACGCTACAGGCCAGAAGATATTGGCACAAAGTATTCAAGGTAATGAAAAAAAAAAAAAAGATCTGAATTCAAGACTATTCTATCCAGCAAGGCTATTATTCACAATAGAAGGTGAAGTAAAGAGCTTCCCAGACAGCAGCAGCAACAACAACAACAACAACAACAACAGGATAAAGGAATATATCACCACCAAACCAGTATTGTAATAAATGTTAAAAGGACTGCTGTAATAAGCAGAAGAAATAGAGAGGGAAACATGGGCATAATAAATAAAATGGCAATAAATAACCACATATCAATAATAGCCTTCAATGTAAATGGATTAAATGCTCCAATCAAAAGACACAGAGTAGCTGAATGAATAAGAAAGCATGTTGTCTACAAGAGACCCACCTCAGAACAAAAGACTTACACAGGTGAAAAGTGAAGAGATGGGAAAAATTTTCCAAGCTGAGGTAGCAATATTCATATCTGATAAAATAGACTTCAAAATGAAGGTCACAACAAGAGACAAAGAAGACCATTACACAATATTAAAAGATCAATCCAACAAGAGGATATAATCTTGGTAAACATAGATGCACCCAATATAGGAGCACCAGAATATATTTAAAAACTTCTGAAGGACTTCAAGGGAGAAATCAACAATAAAACAATCATAGCAGGGGACTTCAACACCCCACTGACATCACTGGATAGATTCTCTAGACAAAAAATTAATAAGGAAACAGAGACCCTCAATGATGCACCAGATCAAATGGATTTAATAGATATTAAATTACACCCCAAAGCTGCACATGGAACATTCTCAATGACAGACCACATGTTAGAACACAAACTAAGTCTCTACAAGTTCAAGAAGATTGAAATCATATCAAGCATCTTCTTGGATCACAATGGCATAAAAGTAGAAATTAAAATAAAAACACTCAAAAACATTCAAACATGGAGGCTAAATAGCATGTTATTAAACAACAAATGGGTTACCAAGGAAGAAATAAAAACTTCCTGGAAATCAATGAAAATGAACACACAATAACACAAAATCTATGGGACGCAGTGAAAGCAATTTTGAGAGGGAAGTTCATAGCACTACAGGCCTACCTCAAGAAACAAGAAAAATTTCTAATAGACCATCTAACCTTACAACTTAAAGAACTAGAAAGTGAACAAAAAGAAAAGCCTGGAGTAAGTAAAAGGAAAGAAATAATAAAGATCAGAGCAGAAATAAATGACATAGAGACTACAAAAAGAATTCAAAAGATCAATGAAACCAAGAGCTGATTCTTTGAATAGATAAACAAGATCGATGAACTTTTAGCCAGACTCACCAAGAAACAAAGAGAGAGGACCCAAACAAATAAAATCAGAAACAAATGAGGAGAAGTAACAACTAACACCACAGAAATACAAAGAATTATTAGAAAATACCATGAACAATTATACACCAACAAATTGGACAACCTAGGCGACAAAGTGGACAAATTCCTAGAATCACACAGTCTCCCAAAACTGAACTGGGAAGAGTCAGAAAACTTGAACAGAGCAATAACAACCAAAGAAATTGAAGCTGTAATAAATAAACTCCCAGCAAACAAAAGCCAGGGTCCAGACAGCTTCACGGGGGATTTTTACCAAATATTCAAAGAAGAACTAACACCTATTCTCCTCAAACTATTCCAAAAAGTTCAAGAGGAAGGAAGACTTCCAAGTTCTTTTTATGAGGCCAGCATAATCCTAATTCCAAAACTAGATAAAGACACTACAAAAAAAAGAAAACTACAGGCCAATATTCCTGATTAACATAACTGCCAAAATCCTCAACAAAATATTAGCAAATTGGATCCGGCAATACATTAAAAAAAATCATTTGCCATGACCAAGTGGGGTTCATTCCAGGGATGCAAGACTGGTACAATATTAGCAAATCAATAAATGTGATACACCACATAAACAAAATGAAAGGTACAAATTATGTGATCATATCAATAGATGCTGAAAAAGCACTTGACAAAATCCAGCACTCATTTCTAACAAAAATGCTCAGCAAAGTGGGAATAGAGGAATCATACCTCAACATGATAAAGGATATACATGAAAAACCTATAGCCAGTATCATACTCAATGAGCAAAAACTAAAATCATCTCCCTTAAGAAGAGGAACAAGACAGAGGTGTCACTTTCACCACCCTTATTCAATATAGTTCTTGAAGTCTTAGCCACAGCAATCAGACAGGAAGAAAAAAACAAAAGGCATCCAAATTGGAAAGGAGGAAATGAAACTGTCATTATCTGCAGATGACATGATATTGTACATAGAAAACCCTAGAGACTCCATCAAAAAATTATTAGGTATAACATATAAATTTGGCGAAGTAATAGGATACAAAGTTAATATCCAGAAGTGGATGGCATTCTTATAAACCAATAATGAACACTCAGAAAGGGAAACTAAAAAAGAAAAAATCCATTTTGCTACTGCAACAAAAAATTAAGATACCTAGGAATAAACTTAACCAGGGAGGTAAAAGACCCATTCTCAGAAAACTACAGGACATTGAAAAAAAAGAAATAGAGGAAGATACAAAAAAGTAGATGCATATACCATGTTCATGGATTGGAATTATCAACATCATTATAATGCCCATAATTCCCAAAGCAATTTATAGATTCCATGCAATCCCTATTTAAGTACCAATGGCATATTTCACATATCTAGAACAAATAGTTAAAAAGTTTATACGGAACCAAAAAAGACCCCGAATCATTACAGCAATATTGAAAAAGAAGAAAAAAGTTGGAGGGATCACAATACCAGATATCAAGTTATACTACAAAGCCATAGTAATCAAAACAGCTTGGTACTAGCACAAAAACAAGCATATAGATCAAAGGGACATAACAGAGAACCCAGAAATTGACCCAAGATAGTATGTGCAATTAATATTTGGCAAAGGATGCCATGGCTGGTTTGGCTTAGCAGTTACTGTGCAGGCCCGTGGACTGGAAAGTCCCTGGTTTGGTTCCTGCTAAGGGCATGTGCCTCACTTGCAGACTGCCCCTGGCCCCCGTTGGGGTCGTGTGGGTGGAGTCACTCGATGTGTCTCTCTCACATCGATGTTTCTCTCTCTCCCTTCTTCCCTCTCTCCCTCCTGCTCTATCTGAAGATAAATGCAAAAATGTCCTCGGGTGAGAATAAAAAAACATATATTCAACAAAGGAGGCAAGAGCATACAATTGAGCAAAGACAGTCTCTTCAATAAATGGTGTTGGAAAAATTGGACAGGTACATGCAAAAAAGTGAAACTAGACCCACCAACTTACACCATATACAAGAATAAACTCAAAATGGATAAAAAAAACTTAAATGTAAGTCATGAAACCATAAACATTTTAGAAGAAAATGTAGGCAGCAATATCTCAGACATCATACATAGCAGTATTTTCACTAGCACATTGCCTAGGGCAAGAGAAACAAAGAAAAAAATTAATAAATGGAACTATATCAAACTAAAAAGCTTCTGCATGGCAAAATAAACCATCATCAAAATGAAATGGAAACTCACTTTCTGGGAGAACATATTTGCCAATGATACATCAGATAAGGGGTTAATATGCAAAATATATAAAATACTCATATAGCTCAACAAAAGGAAGACAAAGAACCCAATTAAAAAATGAGCAGAGGACCTGAATAGACACTTCTCCAAACACGATATACAAATGGCCAAGAGATATATGAAAAAATGCTTAGTGTCACTAATCAGAGAGATGCACATTAAAACAACAATGAAGTATCACCTCACACCTGCTAGAATGTCTGCCATCAACAAATCATCAAACAAGTGTTGGCGAGGGTGTGGAGAAAAGGGGACTCTAGTACACTGCTGGTGGGAATGCAGACTGGTGCAGCCACTATGGAAAACAATATGGTGTTTCCTCAAAAATTAAAACCGGAACTGCCATTTGACCCAATGATCCTACTTCTGAGAATATATCCTATGAAGCCTGAAACACCAATCAGGAAGAATATATGCACCCATATGTTAATAGCAGCGCTATTTACAATAGCTAAGATCTGGAAACAGTCCAAGTGCCCATTAGTAGATGAGCGGACCAAAAAACAGTGGTACATATACACAATGGAAACTGTGCAGCTGTAAGAAAGATCTCTCACCTTTTGGGATGACATGGAAGGACCGGGAGAGTATTATGCTAGGCGAAATAAGTCAGTCAGAGAAAGACAAATACTACATGATCTCACTTATTTATGGAATATAATTAACAAAATAAGCTCACAAGCAAAATAGATCCAGAGACAGAGAAGTAGGGAACAGACTAACAAACCTCAGAGGGGAGAAGGATGGGGGGTGGGTGGGAAGAGATAAACCAAATAACTTATATGCATATATGCATAACCAATGCACACAGAAAATAATGTGGGGAAGGCAGGAGGGTGGTGGGAATAGGAAAGAGGGGGTCAATGGGGGAGAAAAGAGGAACATCTATAATATTTTCAACGATAAAAATTAAAAAAAAAAGACATGTCTAGTTTGCAGTAACCTGGGAGATTTTAATTTTCTCCTGCAGCCAAGGAGTCACTGATGATGCAGCTAGTCACCATTTCTCATTCCTGTGTGATTTTCAACAATCTGGCCACTCCCCACATTGACATTGTACGATTAACTACCCAATTAATTCCACTGGTGCGCTGTTATCACCATCGGCCCTGCCAACTGCCCAGTTAGCTGACACGGGATGCTTTGGTGGGTTTCAACACTCGGGCAGCTACCTGCTCCCAACCCTATCACCCCATCCTGCCTAGCTCTCACCTTCTCTCTGACACACGATCTTAGGGAAGCTCCCTCTCTTTTGTCCACCCCCCAAAGTAGTGTCAATGAGGAGCAATTACAGCAATTGCTGCAGCATACAGCAGTAACGTCTCAGCTTTTGGAAAAGGTCCTGGGCTCCGGTGTCCAGGAGCATGTTGAAGCTCAGGTCCAGCTCTTTCAGCCTCCAGCTGGTGTTCAGCACACGGGCAAGGTCCTGGCAGCCTTGTGCTGTGAGGCCGCAGCCGGCCAACCTGTGGGAGACACGCACCAATGGCCTTGAGTTTACTCTCCTGTTGATTCCACGAACACCTGGAAGCACCCAATGGCACTTCTTCTGCATCAGGCAGAGGTAAGACAGACCCCCCTCCAGGCCCCCAGAAATGCACAGATACTGGGGGATTGACATAGGAACCAAGAACGGTAGGTCAGTTTTCAGATCTCTTTGTATCAGACACTTCCCATGTTTTCCATGTCATCTGAGTTAACTTCAAGTACCTTTTCTTTTTATCCTCACCCGAGGACATTTTCCCATTTTTTTGTTCAGGTAGAGTGGGAGGGAGAGAGAGGAACAGAGAGAGAGAGAGAAACATCGATGTGAAAGGAACACATGGAGTGGCTGCCACCCGCACGACCGACCAGGGCCGGGGACAAACTGCAACCGAGGTATGTGCCCTTAGTGGGAACTGAACCCAGGTCTCTCAGGACCGCAGGCCGACGCTCTAACCGCTGAGCCAAACCGGCCAGGGCAAGGACCTTTTCTTGACTATGGGACCCTGGAGCTCTGTTTCCTTGTCATCTCGGTTTTCATCTCATATCCCTTTTATCTGCATCCTCACTGACCTCCTTGCTCTTCCTTAAATTCTTCAGGTACAGTCCCATCTCAGGGCCTTTGCACCTGCTGTTTCTTCTGCTAGTTACAGTCTTCTCCCCTGATATTTCATGGCTTGTTCTCTCATCTGTTTCAGGTATTTGCTCAAAAGGTACCCTGGGGAAATCTTGCCTCACCACTCTCCTTGCTTAAAATTGCAGCCTCAGCCCCAATCCCCACTCTTTTCTGCTTTATTTTTCTCTGTAGCCCAAATCCCATACATAATATTTCACTTACTTATTTGCTTTTTGTTATCTCCTCCAGAATGTATGCTCCATGAGGAAGAAGTTGTCATTTCTAGTTGTACCCCAGTGCCTCACACATAGCAGGAACTTAATAAGTATGTGGTTGATGAGTGAATGAAATAGAGTGAAGAGGGGTATGTTGAGTGAAGCTGAAGGCAGAGGAATGGGGGGTTAATTTTGACCAGTGAAGGAGGAGCAAATCTATGAGGGGAATTCTGAATGGTGAGCAGGAATTCACTTCGATGACGGTGGATGAGGGATTCTCCTGGGTGGCAGAGTTAATGTGAGCTCACAGCAAATGTTTAGTTCAGTGATGTTGGCAGAAAGGCTACACGATACATGAGCAGAGATGACGTTTGAGGGTAAAGATAGAAAATATCAAGATAGTGGTAGGTCTTTTTTTTTTATCCTCACTCGAGGACATTTTTCCATTTTTTTGCTCAGATAGAAGGGAGAGAAAGGAAGAGAGAGCGAGAGAAACATCGATGGGAAAGGGACACATCGAGTGGCTGCCACCCGCATGACCCAACCAGGGCCGGGGACAAACTGCAACCGAGGTACATGCCCTTAGCGGGAACCGAACCCGGGTCTCTCTAGACCGCAGGCCGACGCTCCAACCGCTGAGCCAAACTGGCCAGGGATCTGATAGTGGTAGGTCTTGAATGTGCTTATAAGATATTTGGACCTTGTTCAGGTGGCAGTGATGAGCCAGTGACGGTTCTTGGGGAGGGAAGTGATGTGATCTTTGCATTGCTTGGAAGGATCCCAGGCAGCGGGTGGAGGATGGTTGGATGGGTTAACAGAGAGAGCAGGTGGTTCAAGTGGGACAGGATGAGCACTGGGGTCAGAGCAGCGCCTGTGGGAGATGTTTCTGTGGACCCAACAGCCCCCGTTGCCTCTCTAGATGGGGCCGGGGCGGCTTCTGCAGTAGATACAGAATTGGTTCTGTTGCCACCTACTGAGGGAATCAGTGTGAGAGGAGGCAGCGTCAGCCTCATGGATGCAAACCCAGTGGAGTTGTTAGGGTTCAGTGCTCTGTGGTTGTCATCTTGAGTTTCTTAATAATTTTATCTTTGAATTTGTGTTTTGTAAGTGAACCCTGATGTGACAATGGGGCTTTGTCTCACGTGTCCCCATCTCCTTTCACCTCCCCGAATCTGCAGGAAGAGTTCTTGTCCACCCATCAGGCATGTTGAGGATCAGGAATATGGCTTGGTGGCAACATCATGACGTGTTTGGTGATTTGGGGGGGCAAGTCTCCCACCCACTATCATTCAGATAACTAGTGCTTCATGGAAATACCCTGCCAGAAGCAGGTTCTATGACCTGCCTTGAGTTCAGATGGTGGTCTTCCCTCCACTATGGTTTGGGGTGATGGGCTCATGGGTGGAGGAGTCTAGCTTGACTTTTCCACCCATCTAGGGCATGATGCATGGGTCTGGCAGCTGGTGGGAAGAGATACCTGGCATTTGTTGGGCTGTGGTCACACTGAGTTGTGGGCAGGCCCCCAGGCACCTGAGAGGGTCTGCATGCACCTGCAGCATGCCAAAGGAACCTCAACATTAAACAACAAATAAAGAACACCAATGAGGGAGCGAGAGACTGTGCTTGAGGAAATGAAGCTTTGTATCTTAGAACCTTTTTTTTTTTTTGTCAATTTATTTATTTAATTTTATTTTTTATCCTCACCCAATTCCATTTTCCATTTTTTGTTCAGATAGAGTGGGAAGGAGAGAGAGGAACATCTATGTGAAAGGGACACATCGAGTGGCTGCCCCCCGCACGACCCAACCAGGGCCGGGGACAAACTGCAACCGAGGTACGTGCCCTTAGCAGGAACCGAACCCCGGTCTCTCTGGACCGCAGGCCGATGTTCTAACCGCTGAGCCAAACCGGCCAGGGCTGTGGTCACACTGAGTACCTTTAACAGCACTTTTCCCCTGATGTTTGAGCAAGGTACTGCATTTTCATTTTGTACTGGATCCTATGAATTATCTAGCTGGTCCTGAGAGGAGGAACAGGTTTTTTTTTTTTTTTTAGTTAAAGAGCAATGTCTAGTTTAGAATACACTGAGTTCGAGGAGCCTCTGGGACTTCCTGGAGGAGAGTGTTGGGTTTGGGTCCTGAGCTGAAAATGGAAGCTTGGCAGGTACCTGCTGGAGGGGGCCTGGGATGTGACTGTGGGAAGCGCTCTGAATGAGGCAGAGGACACTAAAATTGGGACCAGGTTATACTTTTCCTGGTTGGATGTCACATAAATTCTGTGTCAAATCTTGCCTCTCTTAGGTACTACTTAAAAACTAGGAGCAGGTTTGTTCATCTTCAAGTTTACTGATCTGTAACATGAATTCTTCATGTCTATTGCACATGGTGGTTGCCAAGGTTAGAGGAGATAATATAGCCCATGTGCTTAGGACAGTGATTAAATGATGCTCCTGCCATGGGGCCCGAGCCCCTTGACTTCCTTCTGTGTCTCCATCATTTCACACAGCCTCATGCCTCCGTTTTCAGTAAGCCCTTCTCTTGTCCTTCTGTCCCAGAGGGGCCAAGGCTTTTCGGTTCTGTGTCTTTTATTCCACACCCTCCTGCCTCTCCTCTGACTTTGCTCTTTCTGGAATCCCCTCTTTCGGATTTCCAACACCTCTTTTTCCAGTTCCTTCTGTTTTGTTCATGTATTATGCCTAATTTTCCATGCTCATCAACAAAATCCCCAAACACCCAGAATCCTTGAGTCTAGCATATTCAACTGATTTCAGGAGAAATCCAACCATTAGTTAGGATTTTGCTTGAAAGTCTTAGACATTTCTATATCCAAAGGTAGTAAATCTGTGAGTTCTTTAACATAGAATCATTTTTTTTTTTTAGTGAGGACATACACACATCTGCCTGATCCAGATGTGGTACGCTTTTGAAAAAGTTCTTTTTATTACACTCCCTCACTGAGTTAGCGTGAATTAGACCAGGACTTTCATGATGAAGAGTTGGAGGTGGTGCTGGGCTGCATACTCACGGGATTCTAGTCCCATTCTCAGCTGTGTACATTGGGGTAAGGCAGTTAACCTCACTATGCTTCAGGGCTTGTTCTCTGGAAAATGGAAATAATTGTCCTTGCTCTGCTATTTTCACAAGTTTTTTTTTTTTTTTTGAAGGCTGAAAAGATATTTCTTGGAGTAGATACAGAATCGCTATTGAGATTTTAAAGTTCTGTTGTAAAGTAAGGGGTACACTCTAGGTTGGCGTCTTCCCACTGGGGCGTAAATTTTAAGGTAGAAGTAGGATTTCTGAGACCTTTTCAAGGCTGTTTCCTCCTGGACTCAGGTGGTTCTCACTGGAATGGTTTTAGGAAAGATGAAGTACCCTCCTGTGGACACGAGGGTTCCCAAAGCCTGGATTTCTGCCATCCTCTACTTGCTCAGCTTACTTCTCACCACGTCCCTTCTTCAGGGAGCAATCCCTTGACCTTCTCCTTTCTTCCCATTTCTCAGCACTTTTTGTTTGTTTGTTCAACTTCGCTTGGAATCTAGCTTAGATTCCATGATCTGTCGTCGACAGTATGACTGAAGGACTTGTCCTCTGGCCTCTCATTACATCCCTCTAGCTAACCCCAAACTGCCACTCTCCCACTCCACCTGAGAAACAGGGGTGGTGGCTCCAATACTGGATCAAAACCATGACTCTCACGTGGGCCCCAGCCATGCCTGGCAGGCAGAAATTTCCCACTCTACAAAGGCCATTTCAATATTCTACCTACCCCAAGTCTCCAACTCCCCAATCTCACACTCACTTTCAGTGGACACTGAGTTCCTCCTTCGCCAGGAAAAGTAAAGCAAATCAGATGGGAATCCATAAGCTTCCCACAGTCAGACCTGTGTCTATGGGCCAACTTCCCTCTGCCAGGTCTGCGTCCGCCCTCCTATTAGAGTAGGAGGTGTTCCCCAACTCCTCCATGGCTACCCTTTCTCCCATCTTCTCCTTCTGAGGAAAGGAAGACCATTAATTAGTCCTTGTTCTTGTATCTTTCATCATCCTTATCAACAGATATTCAAACTTAGGCCTTTTCCCTTCTGTGCAAACACACACACACACACACACACACACACACACACACACACACAGCCAGTCCCATATTCCCTTCTGCT